AAAAAAAAAAAAAAAGAAAGAAAAGTAAAAACGTATCAAGATATAGTTTGACTATCATGACCAGTACTAGGAATAGGCTAAATAATTTACGTAAAATCCATTTAATGAAATAATATGCGCTTATTAAAATAATGTTGCTGAAATATCTGACACAGAAAAACATACCCCATTTAAATTCAAAAGAGGACTTAAATGGTGGCTACAACACAGTATATTCAAGATGAACAAGTTTCTAAAAATAAAATGTATAGTGAGAAAGTCTAAGAGGATATATAGCAAAATGTGGTCATTATCTTCCTTTTTGCTCATCTGCAATTTCTACAACATGAATATATTACCTGTGTATTTTGTTCGTTTTTAATAGGGGTTAACAGAATTTGAGTTCCCTTATAGAACATTAGTTTGAGCTGAATTTTACTAGTATTAACTCCAAGTTTATTAAATGTACCTGCTCAAAATCAAAGTTCATCATTTTGTTTGGAACAATTTTTGTCTGAGAATCAAATGGTCATGTAAATGAGGAAATAAACAGGCATAAAGTGACAGGAAAACAAGCAACAAGATAACTACCATCTTCATCCCACTGGCCATTACAGTTTAATAAATAAAGCTACAGTCAACCAAAAACACCTTTATTTTAGTCTTCAAACAGCAAACTGTTTACTTTCTATTCCAATATAATCATGATTAACTTACAAAAATTGGCATTTAAGATGCATCTTCAAAGCATTTCCCTTTAACGGGAAACTTAGCATTACAGAATCTCAAGATAAAAAAGTTTTTAAAAAAATCCATTTTGTCACCTTTATAAAACAAAACAGAAGCTAGCATAAGTCATGAAAGTCTACTCATACTTCAGGTCCTTCTCCTCCAGGAACCAGCTGCATATGAGAAAAAGAATGTATTAACAATACCGCATCAGAGTTTGAATTAATTCTGTTAGTAATAACTTCAAGTTTATTAAATGTACACAACATTATCTAAAAACCCATACTCCTCGATCAAAGCACCTTTCCCTCCCCCACTGCATTCCCACTTTCTCCAGATCATCAATAAAAACAAAACCACACCTGTTGCCATCGAGTCAATTCAACACAAAAAACTGTGAAAATGCCCCAAAAGGGTTTCTAAGGTTGTAATCTTTACAGAAGTAGACTGCTTGTTCTTTCACAAAGTGGCTGGCGAGATGAAACCACTGACCTTTCAGTTAGCAGCCAAGCACTTAACCAATGCGCTACCAGGGTTTACAATTCCCAGTATTATCAACTAATACTCAAACAGTGTCTCAGCAGTGATTTCTGACAATATAAAAAAATGTAAAAGCCCAAGCAAACCACTCTTTAGGCCCAATACCATATTCAAAAGCTCAGCTTTAGTGCCCTGACCACCAAAACATCCCTCTCCCATCTTAAGCACTACCGGGCCATGGGCATTTATGTAGTCCAGCAAATATTATGAGGTAGTTCTATAATCCCGGTCCTATGAAAATGGGCTAGTGTTTAAATAAAACAGCATTAGCTTCATGTATCTTACCATTGTTATATTATTTCCATTTAGCAAAATCTGATCCAATTTAGTAATCCTTCTTCCTTCTGGTGTGATTTCACTAAATAAAAAAATAAAAGAGGTTAAACAATGGTAATATAAGCCAACATTTCTGAAATATTTGTATTGCTAAAAAGGTTATTCTTCTATATAAGTAAATGTGAGATTAGCAATTATAACTTGCAAAGACAAAGGTTATTCACTGGGTAAGGTACATTCTTCCTCAAAGGTAGGTAAGAGTGAACTGATTGGCCTAAGAGCCCCAAAGACTGTTCTTCATAAAAGAAGTTAAAACTTGCCAACATGGTCAAACATGAAATGTTTATTAGCTTCACTCTTTTTCTTTAACACATCTACTATTGGTGATCCCCATCCATTAAAACAGTATGTAATCAATTCAATTTTGAAAGCTGAGATATTGCTCATGAGCTTTATAATTAACAAATCTGAGCCATCATTTGCTTTTTCTGTTACACAGTTCTGTCATAATGAGATAGGGACACATGTAAAGGGTAAAATAACCCCCACCAAATTTTCACATTATTAAGACTGCTTAAACTGCTGCTGAGGAGCTCTGGTAGCATAGTGCCTAAGGCACTTGACTGCTAACCAGAAGGCTGGCGGTTCAAACCCACCAGCCACTCCTCGGAAGGAAGGTTGGGCAATCCTACTTCCGTAGTGATACTGCCTCGGAAACCCAAGGAGGGGTCGGCATACAAGAACAACAACAACAACAACAACAAACTGCTGCTGTATTCTTCTGTGACTGTTATGCTGCATTATGAAATCTTAGGCCACTTCTCTTCCCTTGGACTGAGAGTAGAAGGCACAGCACATCCTTGAGATAGTCTAAACAAATACTCCTTGCTGACAGCAATTACAAAATCTAAACTGTTATGTCATCATTGGGCTGTTATCTTCAGATGCAGGACACCCTTTGACACATGTCCTGTTCAAACAAAAGAAAACATCTTTCTAAGCAAAGCACCAGAAGTGAAGCCCACCAGCTTCCAAAAAAGGATTACTTCGGGGATCCAGAGAGGAATATCACCCAGTTTCCAAAAGAAAAAAAAAAAAAAAGGATAACCTTGAGACCCAAGCCCCTAATTTGCTGGTTGTACAACTTCCACAGTTTGCTCCCCTATATTTGCTGTGTGTAGAACAAAGAATTTAGCTCAACGAGTGTGCCTCCTGCTACCTGGGGTCCCCATCCTGTGACAGTACAATAAACAGTTGATTATCAGCTCTGTGATTTCATCTGAGCAGATTTTTCTTTTTCTTATTTTTTATTGTAGTTTGGGTAAAAAATTTACAGAACAAGTTAGTTTTCTACTCAACAATTTATGTACATTTGTTTTTTTGTGACACTGTTTGCAATTCCTTCAATGTAACAACACTCTTCCCACTTCCACAGTGGGTTCCCCATTTTAATTCGTCCTTCTTTCCTGCTCTTTTTTGCCTTCTGAACTTTGTTTTTGGGCAAATTGCCCTTTTGGTCTTGTATGGGTGACTGTACTGAGGAGTACATTCCTCCCTGGTGTTGTTATTCACTCTGAGATCGTTAGGGTGAAAGCTGATCCCCAGAAGTGGGTTCTGTTCCAGGCTTGCAGGGTATCTAAGGGCCACAGTCTCAAGGGTTATACCAGTCTCTATCAGACCAGTAAGTGTGGTCTTTTTTATGATTTTGGATTTTGTTCTACATTTTTTTTTCTCCCTATCTGGGACTTTCTACTGTGAACCCAATCAGAGCAGTTAGTGGTGGTAGCCAGACACCATCTAGTTCTTCCGGATGGAGGCAGTGGAGGCTATGGTTCCTGTGGTTTATTAGTCCTTCGGACTCATCGTTTCCTTGAGTCTTTGTTTCTGTTCACTCTTCTTTGCTCCGGATGAGAAAAGCCTGAGCAGTTTTTAGTCTCATTCACCTTAAAGCTTTGTCTCTACTAATTTCCTAGCAATGTAGTAATAATTACATTAAGGTAATAACCCTCTGATCCAATTTTACTAGCATCGTGGGTAAAGTTTCTATCTTCAAGGTAATGTCAACAGGCAGTGTTTTCTCATAAATCATTTTACTGACTCAATAATATTAAAATTGCCTTAATTAAAAAGAACAATATTCCCCCAAACTTTTCAATTTTAACACTACTTACAACTCAGTGACATCTTCCAATACCATATCTGAAATTCAGTGTTAAGAAAATAAAATATGCCAGTTAAATTTACAGTCTTCTGCCTTTGTTCAATTTTAACGGTAACAGCTAACACAATAGCTTAAATTTTAAACACTTGTTATTGTTAGAAACTGTATCTTCTGTCAATACATACATCTTTTAAATGCTAACACAAGTTGCCCAAGAGTGAATTGATTTCTACTATAACCCACTGCCATCAAGCCGATTCCAACTTATAGCAGCCCTGTAGCTCAGAGTAGACTGCCCCATAGGGTTTCCAAGACTGTAAATCTTTACAGAAGCAGAATGCCTCACCTTTCTCCCACAGAGCAGCTGGTGGGTTCAAACCACCAACATTTCAGTTAGTAACCAAACATTTAATTATTGTGCCATCAGGGGTCCTTTATGATTTCTATAATAATAATTAGTAAATGTTGTTGTTGTTGTTGTTATGTGCCATCGAGTCGCACCCGACTCATAGCAATCCCTCCTTGGGTTTCCAAGGCAGTATCACTACGGAAGTAGATTGCCCCATCTTCCTTCCGAGGAGTGGCTGGTGGGTTTGAACTGCCAGCCTTCTGGTTAGCAGTCAAGTGCCTTAGGCACTATGCTACCAGAGCTCCTAATTAGTAAATAGTTATTATCTATAGCTCTTCCTGATATTATTAGTTACCTAAGAAAACCCTATACCACTACCACCTTTAAAAGGATACTGACAAAGTCATCAAAACCTAGAAGCGTTCCAACAATTTCCTTATCACTCTTCATCACAATGTGAATTCTTGATCCTATACATTTGTCCACAAGCTCTATAAATACAAAAGAAAAAAAAAAGAGAGAGAAAAAAGATTGTTTCAGCAATTCATTATTTCACCAACTATTTAAGTGGCTACTATATCAGTTACTTGTATATGGTGAAAGATAAACCAAGAAAAATATTCATTCTACATACAACTTGAGTTTTTATACTATAAATCTCTGTTCAATCACTACTTTACTGAAAAATTTCTCCTGATCTCCACTTACCTCTCCATTGTAGCAATTTACCATCGTTATAGTTTTAGATTTCAGATTAGTTAATTAATATATCAACTCTCCATTAGACTCTAAGCTCCATGAGGGCTGAAACCGTGCTTCTTTTTGCTTATCACTGTATGGTTAATAGGCAAAGTCTACAATACGAGGCATTCAAAAAGACCTTGTCAAATGAAGAAATAAAAACTTTTCAATTACAGCTTCGTCCATTAACTCAATCACTTTTCACCAGTCACAAGGTATCAGGGGAGAGGCATAATTATCTTCACCAGAGATTCCTTTCTATCACTACCTGCCTCACTCAACGAGGTCTATAATCTGGACTCTGATAGCAGTTTGAACGTCTACTTAGCCAGTTCAGCACTATTTGGTATGATGTTTATTTGTTCATTATCTATTCTCTCCACCGTTTGGTGTATTATCTGAAGGCAACGACTGTGATTTAAATTGCTGAACAGTGCTGAATATGAGTATTGTCATTGGTGTCTGGCACACAGCAGATGCTCAATAACCATTTGTTAAACGAATGGCAAATACAGCAAGTGGGATACAAGATTTGACCAGGTCTACTTTGAGAACCTTAAATGCCAGGTTTTGGGGTGGAGGGAGGCCGCTACCCACACCACGACAGAGGCAAGCTCACAACAAAGAAGACAGACTCCGCGTTTAGTTCACGGAGTGCAGACCTTTCTCTGGTGACGATTCGGTTTGGGCAGTCAAAAGTCCCTGCCTCAAGTGCACCAACTACGCTGAGGTTGAGACAGGAGCGGCCAGGGGCCACACAGACTTGGAGCGTAAAGACAAGCCGCGAACAGAAAAAGCAATTGGCCCCATACATTTTTCCCACATTCCGCCGCCTCGGCCGCAGCGTCTCAGCCACCAACCTTGAGCTTTTAGCTCCCCACCCAGCTCCTCGTATAAAACGATTACCTAGCGGCAGCAGCTGCGAGGGGTTTGTAGTAGCGTTAGCCGCCATGGCTACGCCGGAAGTGGCCTGCGTCTATCTACGTTGAGAAGGCAAATTTGAAAGAGCGCGCTTCCGCTTTCTTCCTCTGCCTGGGCAGGCTTGACCAATATGTGGCGGAGCGAGTGATCAGACCCAGGCCACGTGTGTTGCTCCCACTTAACTTGTTTCTTGCGAAGTACTTATTTGTATTGGCTCAATGTTCTGCTGTCTCAGAATGTACCCACCCACACCTCTCTCGAAGTTTAAAAGTTACATTAATTAACGATATCTTCCCTTGTGAATAAATTCTCCCTCTAACCCAGATGATTTTGGAAAATACAGATATCTTTGAGTCCTTAGTTTCCTTTAGAAATAAATGTCTATACATCTCAAGTCGGGTATCTTTTCTTCAGACCAGTAAGTCAATTCGTTTTTCCCACCACTAACTTGCTGTGTTGCAAGCTTTGTAAAAACTGTTTTCTTAAGGGGACTTAATGCTTTTAAAAGGCCAAAGTGCAGTAGATTGAAAACCTACAACCAACTTTATATATGTACTCGATGGCAGTGAGTTTGTTTTTTGTTTATATATAAATTATATATACATATATGTTGTTGTTATGTGCCGTCGAGTCGGCCCCGACTCATAGCGACCCCTCCTTGGGG